TAGAAATACAACTCCCTACTTTCTCCTTGTAACCGTTCATTCTTGTTCCTCTGGCAGAAACTACCATTGCCATTGCAGTAGCAATGGAATTAACCATGAAAATGGTCCGTATCCATGAAATCAAGATCAAAAGACAAAAGACTACAACAACAGTGTTCCCATCTAAACAGTACCTTAGAGATAATCAGACAGGCTCACACTGTCTGTTCCCAACAGTTGTTTTAAATTAAAGCATGAGAATCACTTCATGTTACTTTGTGCAACTTGGCTTACACTATTTTCTTTTTCATTACATCTTGCTCACCCTTAGTGTCCCATATGGAGCTTAATTTTATCAGATGACAGAATAACAAACTGAAGAACAGGGAAAACATAAAAGGATCAGACTACTGCACCACACATCTAAATCAACTGTAAAGTCAAAGCATTCCTCTGATTCCAAACCCATCCTATCTCCTAGCTCTGCCATGCTTTATTTTCTCACTCTAATTCTCATCTTTATCCAAACATTAGTCTTTCTAAATGGAAAAAAACAGAGGAAAACTTTTGCAGTAATGAGTTTTTAAAGAGTTGTTCTAAAGCTAGCAATCGGTTCAAAAAAAACCCTGAAAGAGTGTTTTTGAAACAGTTGGCACCATCTGTTTAATAAAAAAAGGAAAAAAATTACTGTAGTTAGCATAAGCGTTGCTTAACTCAGCAGACCAGCAAGTAAGTGAAAACCCCACCAATTTCTACTTAAATAAAACATGAATTATCTGGATTTTGCCAGAGATAAATAGACTGTGACATGGTAATGTGCAACTACTTCTGATAGTATTCTTTGATGCATATTTCTTTATTTCTCAACGTCTCATAGGTACTCAAAAAATACTTAGCCACAAACCACATTTAATTCCCAAACTATGAGGTGAGAGCCAAGTAAACACATTACAAACTGGGCATCTGCTTACCCAAGACCAACACGTGGCATTTATAATTTTGCCAGTTCCGTTACTAACGTACCCAAACAAATGCCAAAGGAAGTAATCCAAAGACTTCTCAGGCAACGGGAATGAATTGGCCTTATTCAGAGGCAAAGCGTTAAAAATCACCTCATGTATGACACAAACATAAAAACATGGTGCTAAGCTTTACAATGCATAGGAGGGGTAAAAAGAAATGTTAAGGCAACAATACAGATGCTCAGAATTAGAAACAGGAACCTGTTACACACATTGTCAGCTGTTACCAGCTTCTCTGGTCCAGGAGCACAAGTGGACTTTTTTGTCTCCCAGTGACAAAAGAGCTGGGTGCCACCAGTCCCTCTTCTCTCAGCAACTTAAATATTGAACTCACTGGCAATCAATGCATCCTGTAAGGTGTGCTTGATCCATCAAATTATTTTGGCTTTGCTATTAAAATGATCAAAATTCAAATGCTGACAAAGCCACACTGCTCTCCCAAACACATGCTCACGGGGTATTCTGTGATGCCAGGCAAGATTCAGTAAGCATAACAAAAACGTAGAACATCTGGCAAAACAGGAAATCCTGGATAATATAGATAGCACCGATGTACTTGAGAAATATGCTGCAGACACATCTGTGTTATCTGCCATCCCCCAAGGTCCAAAATGCCACTGTTGACACTGCACTGAAATAAGCCTTCAGAAACTTACTGTGCTGAGGATCCAGGTCAGCACATTTCACACACAAACACTTATGTCCATCAGGACCAGCACTAAATCTGAGGTAGTGTGCCTAAGCAGACCTGTGGTGACACCATGCTGCCCAGCATGCCAAATCTAGGAAAACCTTCTTTGTTCAAGCTCAATGCTGCAGGAATGTTTCTGGACTCCAGCTAGTCCTGATGATAGCTTACATGCCACTGCACCTAAGCTAATCAACCATACCAACTAATAAATTAGCTAATAAGGCTTGCTGGAACTGACTACACATCTATGGCCTGACTTGCTCACTAAACTAACCAGATAAAGCCCTCAGGGGAGCTGGTGGGTGGTGGTGGAGGTCACTAGACTGTAAGCAACATTTTAATCTTTTAGATTTCATGCTTGATCAGATTAGCCATAGCTAATGGTCCCTGCAGCCTTTTCTTCCTAGCCCTAAGAATATCAGAGTGCTCCTAATACAGAGTGACTACAGAGAATTCATACGTTGCATCAACACAGTAAACATTCCAAAATTCAATAAACTGAACCAATAAGTAGATACTGGAAGTTTGTACTGATTCACTCAGGACTGTAGAGGATGTTACATCACCTGGATGTAACTATGAAGACAGAAAACCATGATGTGAAACAGTTCCAGCATAAAACTTCACTGACCATGCTGACCCATGGCATCAACTTACTGATGTTGTCTGCTTCAAACCTCTAAGTGAATGCTTATCAAAGCAAACAGACAAAAAATACTGAACTTTGTTGTAAGTCCAGACACTGCCCTGCATACACAGAGGAGTAATGGAAAAGGCTATCCATCAAAAGGAAACTAAAGTCTGTCTGGAGGTGATGGCATATGTTCAGAAAGAGCAGGGCTCAATTTTACTGCCACTGCTGCACATTCAAGTAGGTGGGAGAAGCCTTGAAGGTCAGCCTTTATTGAAGTGTGAACAGAGATTAGCCTCTGCATCATCCCAACTGCATTCCAACAATCCATTTTTCCTGTTTTCTTTGGAGATTGCTAGCACACAAAACCCAACTCATTTTCTCCTCTATAATTTCATACATTCTTTTTTTTCGGACATATTTTCCATTTGAAAGACTCATATTCAAAATGTCAGAGAGTTTACAGACTAGTAATGCAACATGGAAGAGAAGACATCTAGAAAAATGAAGAAAACATCTGAATTCATGAGTACTTGACAGCTGAATAAGACATTCACTGATTCTTGCACTAAGCATCATTTCAAACATCTCTTTTCATTTCACTATATTTTTCAAGAGATGTTTGATAATGCATCAAAACAGTTTAAAATAAAATAATAAAATAAAAAAGATATTTAAATTTTAGGTCTAAAGAAACTTCTAATTAAAAACAGCAGTGGAGACATTTTATTGTGGAACTTCAGTCAATGATTTCATAAAAACTTTAAAAAATAAGTACTCTTTATAAAAAAAAATTAGACCAAAAAACTGTGAAAAAATTATAATACACATTCAAACTTTACCTTTTGACTCCTGGTAATAATATTCTGTCTTCTATGCAGATGCTGCCTATATGGGATCACAGTAAATCAAGCACATTTGACCTACCGAGCTTAATACGACTGTAAGTGAATCTCACAGACAGGAATGCAGGACTTATGATGCTGCAGCCCTGATTGATAACTAAGAAGTCAGTTATAAATAAATCTGGAACAGTTGGGATTGACTGTTGTTTAGCACTTTCAGGCAGACGTTCAGGGCAACTGGCAGGGGCTTTGAAAGCTGTTTCCTATATTAGAATCATGACAAAAATAGAAGTGAGGCTGCATTCCCTTGTCTTCTGCTAAAATAGATCTTACTCAAAAACATTTTTACAAGTTTGACGAGGCATAACTAGCCCACAGTCAGATACAGAAAAAAATCAAAATTGGAAGTCCCATGTTGATCTACCATGAGTAGTTGCTTATTGAACTATTAAGAGCAAAAAAAGAAAAAAAAGGGGGAAAAAAAGTGCAGCATACTAAGAGATATTAAGGACAAGGAGAAGCTGGCCTTGCTACTTTTTTTTTTAACTTACAAGTGAAGGTACAATCAGAATTCACCAGCCAAAAAGCCCCTAAAGACCTTTAAAGATACCATAAAAGGGGAAAATCATACATTTTACCAACTGTCCTTACGAATACATGGTGGGGGGATTGTTTGGGGTGTTTTGTTGCTGGCTTTGGGGTTATTTGTTTTGTTTTTAAATTCAAGAACAGATGTTGCATAATAACTACTGACAGCAAGGCTGAGTGTTGAGAATGGAACAGGAAAGAGGAAGCATGTATTGGTTTCTGTTCTGTTTTAAGTGTCCCAAATACTGTTTACAGGGCAACCATTTGTCACAGAGCTAACTCGCCTCCAGCAATTAAGCTTTCAAATAAATTAAGCTGGCTTTTATTTGTGTGTTTTTACAGTCAAAATGTATATATCAAAATACCGTAGGATTAGCTAGTTCACTGACTAAACAGCCTATTGTTCTGCCAAAATAATCAGTGGCCTTAATGAGCAATTAACAGCTTTCAGGGTCAGTGAGAACAGAAAATCTTAACACATAGATAAGAAATTTTGTGTATAATGTCCTGCTACTGTTTCAGACTACGAGTGAACTCGCAAACTATATGCAAGAAGCATGTGTGATTGAGAGTAGAATGTATATAGTATAAAACAAAATCAGAGGAGAGAGTAGGGTACAATAAGAGCAGTTTGATTTAGCCAAGTAACTCTCCCAAACAGATTTCCCATAAACTGTTCTTTCTCAGCCAAAACAGGTCCGCATTATGTTTTGCTGACAGATATGAGATTGCTCCCCCTGCACACACTCTAAACCACCCTGAACCAAATCAGCTCCATCCTCGAATCCCTGTGCCCGTGGTGCCTGATCCCAGCCTGCTCTCTCCCAGCAGAGCTCGCAGTTCAGTGCCCAGTGAGCCCTGACATGGAGCTTGTGGTTCCGAGCAGGATCACAGCTCCTTGGGTCAGCACACAATGACTTCCAGCTTTTACTCTTGTGAGTTCTGCAATATGCAAACTGCAACAGAATCAGGACTAGGAAATTTCTGCAACTTGCCTTCTACCTAGTATAAATTAAGGCATAATTCAAGGACTCAAGGTGTGCTGAAGAAGCACACACAGGGAGCACATTTCAGTAAGCAAATTGTGATTCTTTTTCATCATGACAATGGCTGAAAATATGCTTGTTGAAAGACAGCAAATTCATCATAAAGAGTCAAATCTTTGCTTTGTAATGGATTGCTACAATGCAGACATAATTTCCTCTTACCAAAGATCCTGCATAAATGTATTTTAAACTAATTACCTTTAGGTGGAAAATATGACTTGCTTTCAGCTTTGTGAGGCCAGTCCACCACAAGAGGTCCAAACCTACGAAAGCTGGCAGTGATCTCATCTACAAAAAACAAATGAGGCACCTTAGAATGTGAAGACTGACACGGCAAGGTAAAAAGTCTCACTTAAAACAAAACAAAACCAGACTTCCTGCTTTCTACACTAAGAAGTGAAAACTGTAATAATGTCCACTGAGGATGCCTAAATATTCTTTCATCTCTATGCTATAAATGGCTGCTTAAAAAAGTAATTTCACATTCTACTAATGGAAGTTTGCAGCAGGATTAAATGCAAACATGATCTATCAGAAGTGAATATGCTTCAGCTGTGGTCTATTTCTAATTATAGCCACAAAGCAGGGTCAGATGTAGCCACATGGGACTGACGGAGGAGCTCCATGTCAGCACAGCCGCTCCTCCAGCGTGCCCTAGAAAGCAGGCTGCAGCAGGTCATGCGGCTGGGGGGATTTCACCTTCCTCAGTCCCCTCAGGAAATCTGCCTTGAATTGCCAAGTTATTTCTTTGCTTTTTAAGCATCAGTTTAGAAACAGCATGGAACACACATCACAAACTATCCTAAGTGACAATTTTGTTTTAAATGTAAATGCTCCAGAAAGAAGCATTTGAAGTCGTTTTTAAATTATTTTTTTTCTCAATGCCTTTTAAAATTTACTTTAAAGAAAGAATTAGTTTAAAATTATGTCTAATGTGATGCTAGATAGATCAGAGCAACAAGCACTCTGGAGAAAATGGATTTTCCAATTTTTGGATTGCTGTTTGAGGTGTATCCAGTTTCTCTGACCCCATGAGTTGCACACCAGATTTTTCAAGCAACTAAAGACACATATTATATATATACCTGAAGAGCTGAAGGAAAAAGGGTTACTGAAGGAGACCTCTCATGAAAGAGGGTGACAGCTCCCAGGTGGCCGTGTTACTTCCTCACAAGACAGGCAGGGCATATATTTTGATTGAGTGACCCAGCAACGTTCACATCAGTTGTATCTGTTGGCCTGCTTCTTCTTATAGCTGGAGATTCAGATTACCCAGCAGGCCCTGTATCAACAGCCCTGCAACTCACGATGTGACATAGGAACCACATTTGAGCTGTTTGCAAATCATAGGTTGGCAACTCACAGTATTTCTTTATTAAAACTGTACATGGTTTGGACTTCAGTGTAGTAGGTCAGATTCAGATATCCCTCTTTTCATTATAAGGCATCCGCAAATTCCCTGTGTATGCCCATTGAAGCTAGATAGTGGTGGATTCCAGACATAACATGAAAAATACACCAAAAAATTGTCACGATTTTGGTTTGGGAGTAAGGGTTTGTGGGGGCACACATGAGTAGAACAGATATTGAGAAAAACCCTAACCACCTCTGCTAAGCTGGTTACTATTTTGTAACCATATTACTGCCCTACATTTTTCATCTGAGCCCTACATATATGCTGGGTATAAGAGCTGATTAATTAAAGCCCCATGTATTTTGGAAAGAACTGTATTAACAAAGTCCTTAAAGTCAAACACACCCAAGAACAGGAAAAGACTATGGGGGAGAGACAGTAACCAGTAAGTTCCCTTTTTAGCTTTCCTACTTTACAGCTGTGGGAAGACACACAGATCAGAAGACCTACTATGCAGCCATTTCTCTCTCCACCTCTTCTGATCTACAGCACAAAAGAATGTCAAGTAAATTCTCGGGTGTTGCCGTTGATTGCAGTGTGTTTGTTTTAAATAATGTCATAAGCACTAAAAGCAACACATCTGGGAAAATACATCTGTTTTCATCAAAATCTGACCTTTTTTATAGTAATTATACGAAAGCCAATTCCTACATCTCACCAATGTAACTTATTCACAGTACCTTCATCAATGTCAGGAGGAAGACCTCCAACAAACACCTTTCTAGAATAGCGTTCCACTCTTTCACCGTTTTGACAGCGCGTTGGAGAGCTGAGACCCGACGATAAAGACTGATCACCATGACTGTCGTCTAGGAAGCCATCTTCAAAAGGAAACAGTGAGGACCGACCTGCAACAGATTTTGTAGCATCTATAATTAACGTTGTTTCCTGGAGAATTAAATATTTTAGAAAAAAAACGTTAGCTCTTCCTTCTACTGTTTTACTGTAACAGAATTTGCATTAAAGGGCCCAACTAAGTTGTCCAGGTGTCCGAATTATGTTCTGTTTTTCCAAGGAGTATCACCCTTACAAAACAATAAACCTAATTTAGCTTTAAACCAAAGCCTTACAAATGGCTAGCAACAAAACCAACAAGCTATCTGATGAGATTGTTGCCATCACTATAGAAAGGACCTTTGCAACATTTAAATTTCAAACCAATTCTTAAGAGATTTAAACCTTCCATAACAGATCTTCCAGGAGTGATCTCAAAAGCAGATCCCTCAAGTCACTGCACACTTTAGAGTGCTTTACAGGGACCTAATAACAAGGGCTGGAGCACTTCCACCTTGAGGGAACAGAGGCCCTCTCAGGCCACACTGAGTAGGGGCACAAACAGCAAAATAAACATGGGAAAACTCTGCATCGTGAATATTAAAAACATAGAAGAAACCTGGCTAATAAGAAAAAAATCTTGTTAAATAAACCAAAAAGAACTTGCACTTGAAGAAAAAAGTTGTTAGCTGGAACAGCCTGTCAGACTGTTTGTTACTCAGTGTTAAAACATCCTTTCAGTGATGAATGAGCAAAATCAACATAAATGGCTGCTACTCAGTTTGTTAATGAAAAGTAAAAAATTTATTTGTGATCATCAGATGCATTTAATTTGTTGCTACTACTACAAAGGCATACACACATTAGTTTAACAGTTTTATTAACAGAAAAGATAAAAAAAGTTCACCTGCATACAAGCAACACTGTAGAACATGCCAAATTTAGAATTTAATAATTCCCTATACCTGAGATGAAAATTAAGTCCTGCAATATAGAGAGATGGGAACCCCATCTCAACTCTGAAAAGGCTAATTGTCCACTCATTTCATGGAGGACTGTTCCTTGGGATGGAATTACAATTAATGGATACAAACAGTTTATTAGGGGGGTTGATTACAAATATAAATGACAGGGCACATAATTAAATTCAAAGGTAATGGATCACATGAAATTGACTTCCAGCAAGACCTGAGGATTAACACCATCCTGGCAGAAAGAGCACAGGGAAGTACAGGAAATAAAAACGGGTAAGGACGTAAATGAAGACAGTGGGACTCTAGTAAAAAAACGTATACACTGAAAATATCAGTAATAGTCTCCAGTACCAAAGGACAGCTTACAAAAAGAAGCAGTAATCCTACATATGGAAAACAAGCAAAAAAAAAAAAAAAACACAACAAACCAGGAAATATGTTCTGAATGGCACAGAACACCAGCCTGAATTTTTTATGAACACCAGACACAAGAAAAATCTTGATTAGAAAAAAAAAATATTGAATATTAAACATTGACAGAGATCACAGACACAAAAATCCACTGAATCAAAATTCCTACTGTACTTTTACACCTCAACATAAAAACCAGGGTAAATGCCACAATCAGAGAAGGATTTAGAGATACTTCTCTTCAAAGTCTTGCCAGATATGGTGGGTTTAGAGCATAAAACAGGAAAGACTATTGATGAATATTCTATTAATGGACAAACAGGTCATGCACATGTATAAACATATGCATTTCAACATAAAAGAGAACATGTGCATGAGAGAAAAAAAATTAGGAATACTACAATTGTGTAAAAGTACCAAATCAGAAAACCCACTGAAAAGCAGGAAATTTGAAAATATCTGTGAGAAACTGACATTACTAAGGAGCTAAATAGTCTTTTAATTCCTGTCCAGCAACCTACCTTCTTGTAAAAAAATGAAACAAACATGATCCAGTAGTGGAAGGTGACATATCAAATTAATAAATACTAGAACAAGGTGTTCAACTAAAATACAGATTTGCAGAGGTCACTTAGTGCTGAGTTCTGAAGGGAATAATAAAAATTCACAGCAGCTTAAAAATCAAGGTATCACCTCATGCTGGATGCTTGACAGTCTACAAGCACTGTACTCACCTTATAAAAATGTAAACAATGTTCTAAAACTTTATATTTAAGTCAAGGATAGAGTTAAATTTATGGAAAACATACAGACAAGGGAATAGGTAATGACTGTTCACTATCTCATCCAGTGAGGGAAAAGGTAAAGTGCATTGAACACAGTCAGTACATGGCAAGGCTGAAAGCAAGGCAAACTCTGGAACCCTTTGCCAGAGGCTTTTTGGGATCTTGAAAAGTTTATGTAGGCTTAGAAAATGGAACGAGTAAGAACAGGACAAAAGCACATTCTAAAGCAATAAATATTGAGACATCACCTCATGAAACCCCCTGGGGCAAATTTCTGTGAGAACATTAGGAGAAAGCATCACTAACTGTACTATTTTTTTAATATACTCCTGTACTCCTCCCCGGGCATCTCTGAGTTGTCAGTGCAGCGAAATAGTTTGGGCTGATTTCCCATAGCTATGCTTACATCTGTACCTGAAAAACTGGTTGTAAAAGTTAAAAACAATGTACCATGAACATGACTCAACAGCCCTATACATAATACCTACAAAGAAATGTTCTCCCTACTCAAAGAAAACAGAGGGTTACGTATAGAACTGATATTTTACGGCAAGCCCCCCAAAATGTCTGACAAAACCTCTCCTCGCTGAAGATGCTTAGTCACAGTAACAGAACCAAACACTAATTAAAATATCCAAGTATAACAAACATGAAATGAGTCCCTGGACAGACTTGTCTCTGGTTATTCTGCATATTATCACAATACAAATGGTGAAAACAATAATAGAGAGGGATATATGGGAATATTTTAAAAACAACACATCATTTTTTAACAGATTACCATAGAATTTTATGCTTCTTAAGGTTAAGAAAGCTCAGTAACAACATTATAAAAGTCAAGGTAATGATAAAGCGTGAACATCACAGACTTCAATATTGCACAAATGAGTGTTAATGACAAGACACACACACAAATCTACTTGTTAGTATAGAAAAGCCTGCATTTCACACAGGAAACAAGTTTATAGAGTGAAACATGCTTTCTGGTAGAGTGAAAAAAAATTTCTGTAAGTCCAGCACATTCAGAACTTGTTTGCCCTGTTTTGTCATCACTATCATTTTTATAAAACAGCCTACATTGTATTCATCACAATTACTGCCACATTATTATATTTGGCTTCTACAAGTAAATGTGAGTTGCAACAGTGTCCTACTGCTTCCTACCTCCTTTCCTACTTTGGTGCCATTTGATCAATCTGGAAACATTTGCCACAATCTTAAAATGAAAATAAACAGGGTTCACATGCATAGAGAGTATACAATATTATATACTCCACATACTTCCCAATTTGTTTCAGTACCATGAGAGCCCTGAAAAAGTATCAGGATGCCTTTAACATCTGTTAACAGTAGCTCGATCTCTGGAGGTGGGGAAATATGAGCAGGTAAGTTTGTGAGGAAAACTGGAATCTTTTGGTTTTGTTTCAGCTATCAAAAAAACATGAAAACCAGTCAGCTTTGAACCAAACCAGCTGAATACTTTATTATAAACTGTGCTAGTACAGCCTCTGCAGTCCAGCGCCTGAATCCTCAGTGCAAATTACAAGTTCCTTCACACACTATTGGCCTGTGTGAGGGCTATGTCTGCCTCCAGCTTCTCAGAAACACGATGCAAATTCTACATTTTGAAAAGGAAGCAATGTCACCTGCATAGCTGTCCGAGAACATCACAGAAAAGAAGATAAAATTAAGTTTAATGCCTAAGTACCCCAAGCAGATGGCACTGCCTAACTCTAATTGTTAAAAGCTGCAATTTTCACTGTTACTTCTCAATAAACCTAGTCTGTATAAGCTACAGCACAGTACAGAAATGTAAGCTGCTATCACAACTTTCTTAGTAGTCAGCAAACTTGCTTCTGTCCTTGTTCATTAATCTCTCAGAATAAACTGATATCCAGCACTGTACATTTGTAAAATGCTTTCAGTTTGCTTTAATTTTTTAAGGGTTTTCTATGATGAAATACAGTTAAAATGTGCTCAAATACTGTCTCTATTATTAATATTCACTGTTGAGGAAAGTTATTAGTATTGGTATTCACACATGTTCTACCTGAGGCAATTCAATGTAATAGTCAAGTGTAATATTCAGTGAAAGCTGTTTCATCGAAAAAAAGGCAATTTTGAAATGTTCAATGCAGTGGTTAAACACTGGACTTTACAAAAAAACCAAACAAACACCAAACATAGAGTCTATTTGTTTTGAATGTTACACATTTCAAGTCACAAATACATATCACGAAAGACTCTTTACATCCAGTCATCCTCCAGTTCACTAGTAATAGCAACACACTTGAAGTTACCAGCTCAAGATCATCATTGCTTTAAGATGCTATTAAAAGGGAGTTGTTTTGCAAGGGAAGAATATAAGATTGATTTATATGAAACAATTGATCAACAAAATGTTAAAATTGGTAACATCTTATCATAAGAAAACTAAATATTTAATTCTCCCACTATTCAGCAAACAAAACATTTAGTAAATACTTTTACCTCTTCTCCGCCCATAGCTCCTGGCTGCATGTAAACACAGAAGAAAATTGTCGGTACAACTGTCATTAAATTTAGCTCCAAAAGCAATGAAAATGTAGCTTCTACCTCTTCTATTTTTCCCCTCCCACCACAAAGAAGGAAAAAACATTCAAGAAGTGCAAGATGAAATTCAAACAATCCAAGACAAGAGAAAAAAGTTGAAAGATAATACAGCCGGGGGGGGGGGAAGGAACATACCTGCTAGAGCAAGTTTTCTACATAGCAAAGGTACTAAAAAAATTAGGCATATCAGACAGTACTATAAAATAATAATTTAGGATTATGGTTTTAAGAGGCAATAAACATCATCAACAGTAATCGTAATTAAAAGAATTAAGTTTGCATTTTATTAATCAGTTGTAGAGAACATATTTGCCAATTATATTTCAATTTAAATAATTAACCATCTGTAGATACTAAAATCCTATCAAAACAACATGAACTCAAGAGCCAGTATGTTTAGAGGAATAAAACCAGATTGACAAAATGCCTTTATAGCTACCAGAATTAACACAGCCTTTCAATGAGACATGCATCAATGGCAAAATCCACAATGCTGGACAAGTGCAGGAGCATATTTTGTGACATAATGGCAAATGCAAAAGTCAGCATTTTTTTTAACTGAAATTTTAGAAAGCCATAAAATAATCTAGAAAATACGTGTCTTCTACACAGTCAACTTATCACAAAAGACATCTATCCTTTCAAAGTAATCAAATGAAGAGGGCTAGAAATCAGGTTGGGTTTTTCAACAGAAGTGAGGTGATAAGTAGCAGAGTCTTGTTTTGTTTCTTTCTCTCTTCATTGTAATACTTTCAGTGTTCCTCCCAACTCCATCTCTTATTTCCAAAACTAACACAATGCCTTCCAGTCCTGCCCGACACACCCAGGTATCCCACCATACCCCTCAGCATTCCCTGTCTACTTTTCTTTGGCCAGCAATTACATGACAGATTGGTGGTGGCTATTTGAGAACTATTCACCTGCTGACTGGTCCTCTGGCCATCACCTCTGAGTAGCCCTGGGGATACCGGAGTGAGGCTCACCCTCCTCCAGCACAGGCACTGCTAGTAACCTCTCTTCTACCCAAGCAGCTTCCTCCTCAAGCCCTGAAGAAACACAGTCTCAGGCACCATACACCTACACCTACATCTTTTTCTTCCACTATCAGTGAGGCCACAAAAAAGCAAATACATGAGTACCTCATTAGGGGGATTAAAAAATTTCAAGGGACATGAAGACAGTCAGAGCTGTCTGTGCAAACAATTATTCAGTCACGGTGAGGTGGTTGGTAAGCCCTGAGAGAGACTCTGCTTCCTGCATAGCCGGTAATAGTTGAGAATTAATACTAGAGTTGGCTTTGCAGCAAGAATAAAATTAGTTCTCCTGCTTTCTAGCTACTGCTAAAGCCATATTCTATTACTTATTATGATGGCAAAGAACCGTTGTCAGAACTTTTGTAGCAAGTCCTTGTCTTGATGAATGCCCACACATCCAAAAAAAGCATGTATTAAGAGTAATCAAGAGCATCAAGAGTAATCTATCTGAAAGAAGTTTCTCAAACTACCAACGCTACCAATCTAAAAATTAAATGAAGAAGTACTATTTCAGTATGAGATGAAAAAGACTCCTGTGCTTCTTTTGAAGAAAACAAAGTTTTACATGCTTAATTTAAACTTTTAGGCTCTGAGCAAGATCAGTACATGATGGCAGAAATCTACCAAAGACTTCTGTAATGTTAGAACACCCTATTGCTATTCATGTATTATAACACTTCTATGTTATACTGCACTGCAGAATAACACTTTTTTCCTATATTTGCACTCAGACACATAATCTTTATTTTCATAAAAAGGTTTCACTGGAAGTATATTTACAATTGCCTGTGAACTCCAGGAGGAAAATACTGCAATCCACTTAAATAGGAAGACAGTTAGGCAATTCAGCTTTTCTTCATTTAAAAACATAGCATCACATTCAAACACTCAAAGAAGGTGTTTTAAGCATTGTTGTTTATATTTTGTATATATCTACACACATAATTTGAAAATTACCTCATTTTTATCAAGTATTTATATTAAACTGTTACTTTTTTCCAGCAAGCTGCCAGTTATTCAGCACGGCAACTTCAGAATGTCAGTGGACACTTTATTATGTTGTTTACACAGGATGTGAAATAAGAATGTGTCATTTGAAACAAGTTAATAAAAAAATACTCATCTTGTTCACAAGTCAAAGTTCAGAGCACAACAGATTTAACAGCAGGAATGGTTCATCAGGTAAATTTCATAATGCCTCCAGTATGAGTAAATATTTAAAAAAATAAACAACTTGGAAATTATTCTTGAATGAAGACATCTGGGAGCCAATAAGAAAACTATTGCACTATTAGAAACAATGAAATGACCAGAGTTATGTATCTGAAGTTACTTTCTCTCTTGGGCAATTCCAACAGAAGAGACTGGGAGCTCCAAAAATCAGACCCCCCACCGATGCAGCTGCTCCCCATATACTAGTTTTGGTGCTAAATATAAACATCATTTTGCACAGAAAACCACCTCCGGAAATGTTTCTGAATTCAACACAAGCGATTCTTTCCTAGGTACCTCCTAGAGCATTCCAGTATTAAGGAAAACACAGCTGCTTTAAGAAGGGATGAGTACATTTTCCCATGTAAAAACTAAAATTGTTGCAGGCACTGATCATTTGTGCAGCTCCCAGAAGGATCAGCACTGCGTTAGTGTCTGTTCGTCCTTAGCAACTTCCTTTAACTGTCAGGTAAAAAGTTACATAACCACCGTGTCCCCAGCTGCATGCCCTCAAATACAAAGGAACAACACATTCTTTTCCATCCCCTGATAACTCTCCTGAAACTATTAACTCACCTCATCCCAGAAGATGAGTGTATTTTTACAAACATGAAACTGCACGATGAAGAACAGAACTCTAAGCTTTCAACAAACAAGCAAAACAAACTCCCCAAACCTTGTAATGCAATCAAGTAAACTCGGTACTAATGCTATTGGAACTCCCCAAAGCCTGCAGCTAAGATTACCCATTGCTGCAATAAATCAAAACTCACTCAAATTAACTGCTCAGATTTTAACTGCATCTTTTATTATAATATGGGATTGAAACTGCACCTTGTATATGTATCAAATAGTTAGCAGTCCTAGAAAATAATAAATTTGTGAATTCATAAAACATTAACTCAAAGGGACTAGAGCTACACTTTTTCCATATCATAACTAAAAGTGGGTCTGATCAAGTAATTTCAAATTCAGAAATAAGTGACATAATTTATTTGTATTCTTATTTGTATACTTATTTGTATTCTCATATTTTATGGAAGACAACAAAGTATTTTGAGATTTTTAAAAACATTCTTCACTGTTGGTATGTATCTTGTATGTATCATGCAATAATGTGTCTACAATATCAAAGATGCACACTTCAAGGCAACCTTAAAGACATATCTTAAATTAACTTTTAATTAAAGTAACATTAACTCTGTGAAAAAAAAGTTGACATTTCCAGATTAGAAATTTTGGAGCTAGACTGGTTAAAGGAAAATTTATTTGACAAGACTGGGAACCTCCTTGATTTATAAGGTACCAGAATCTCATTTCTAGCCTGGAACACTCATTTGTATTCTTGAAACAGTCAGCAGTTCAGAACAATACTTACTTTAGGACATTATGAGTTATGCAATAATTTTCTAAGATCAGAAAGGAAAATATGTCAAGCTTTTTCTTTTGAACAGTGGGTCTCAAGTTCTTAGAGATCTGGAAGTTTACAAGTGAATTAAAATACCAGTGAAAATGAACTCATGAACTGAGGGAAGGTGATAGAATCAAGTATAATTACACAACGTGTTTTTGCCCAAAAGAGAGAGGATCATATAAATGAATTGTAAAGATGATTGACACTCATATACGAGAGGTTCAAAAGAGGGTTCTCAATTTCCACTGATAGATAGGCTGGATGTGCAGATGGGTGCTACAATAATTTGGTGGTATTGGCCTCAACAGTCCCTCCAGGTTGATCTTTTTTCCAATGCTACCAATGCAAGCGTTACAACAATCTCCCCGATCACATATGCTCACATACATAAACAACTGAATCCCACCATCAGAGAAACACCTCTACATGCAAGCTGTATGCAGTTAAGTCCCACACACTGGATCTCAAACACTTTATCAAACAGGTGAACTGCATTTGACACTCAAAACCAGCTTCGGTGTTCCTTTCTTAGGCACATGAGCAGCCAAGCAACTGTGCAGGAGAGCGGGCTTATCTATTTCCATCTCTTTGTTTTAGTTTAAAAAATCTGTTAACAATAAACCTCACATTTTTAACAGCCAGGTTGTTTCATCTCTTCTAGCATCATATATAATGCTTGTGGAATAGCCTGGAAAATCTTGAAATTCTGAGGAAACAGATGGTACTAACCCACAATAGAGAGGATCACAAAGATGAAAGGAAAGCACATTGGTGAGGTTGTGAGGCAGGAAAAGTGGTGGGGAAAACAAACAAACAAGAACGTATTGAAGAGCTATAAAGTTGGATTAAAAAGATGATTTAAGAAATCTTCCTCTGCTAGAAAAAGCCTTTAGCAGTCACTGATAAGAGACATTGTCTTCAGTAACAGTCAAATCAGATTTCTGGAAGTGCAGATGCTAATATAAAAAACCGAAGGTAAGAAAGAAGATGATGTATTGCTCCTTGGCTTCCTTCCCCACCTTTTTTAAAAATTAAACAGGTATAGAAGGGACTTGGAGATACCAGCAAGTCCAACTCACAGCCTCCAAGGCAGCATCAATTCTCTTTATACAGCTGGTTCTGAAAAACTTAACAAGGTTATGTGTAAAGTGACAGTTCACACATTCTGGGACTCCTATGAACCCTGCTGCCTTTGCTATGTCACACTTTATATCATTCATTTTTTCCCTCCCGTTATAGTAACTCTGGTCTCTTCACGACTAAATTAGGTTTAGTTTTGCAAACTTTGTAAGGTCTCTCAGTGTTTTTCATTCCTTTCCATTATTCTATATATGCTAATAAGCTGGTAACACATTAGTAACCCCACGTGGCAATTGGGCTAAAGAGTTCAGCATATTCCTACAGGCAAGTACCAAACTATTAGAAGAGATTGATGCCTCTTGAAATTTAGTCACACATTTTCCCAGAACACTATCACTACAAAAACCCCAAGCTTTTATTAGCTGTTAAACTGCCAACCCAAGATCTTGCAGGACAAAAATAATTCAATGAACCTTTTATTTGGAGCAGTTAATTTCAAGCTATAACAGCAGCACTGGCAAGAAATTCAAATATAAAATGCTACTTCAGCAACTTTTTTGTATCAAAACACTATATGTGTTTGAAAGCAACACATCAGAATACAGGAAGAGCCAAGTACAACAGCTCTTAATGAGACAAGGCAATTTGAAAACCAAGAGAAACATGAAAATAAAAACTGAAATCCATTTGTTGTCATTACGTTTCCTGTCATGGCGTGACACCTTCCTCACATAATTATTATCTGTATTAATAAACCAAAACCAAAATCTCAACATGGACATCTAAAAAGATGCCCCAAACCCTTACCTTAATGTATTTTTCAAATTGTTTTACTCTGAATAGACAGAACTAATTACACTAATGAAAAGAAGAAATGACAATCAGATGGAGAGCAAATAGGACCAGACCTCACAGATGACACATTTTCATATGAGACAAGAATGAACAGTGGAAGCACATGGAACATTTGAAGCCCAACATCACTAAAAAGTTCCCTGAGCTTTAGGGAAAACAAATTCCAGCATTTCACAAAGGGGTTTCTCATTTGCTCATTTAACTACCTTCAAACTTTTTTTATGAAATCTAATTTGGGATACCAGCAAAACAGTTCAGCTCTTCCTTAGAAAGCTCTCATACCCTTGTTTATTCCCATCTCCCTTTTTCACCTGCCATACTTCTCTCTCCCTGAAGTTTATTGTTGGCTTTCTGAAGTTTACAAAAAGCATTAAAGATAGTTCACCACCTACCACGTAGGTGACTATGTATTCATGCTGATCATTTAGTCCTATTCACAAAGCAAATTAAAAAGAAGCACATTCTCTTGAGAAGCACTCAAGAGAAAGTCCAATTGCTTCCAAACAGAAGCAGTGGCTGCAGAAACATATGGCTGCAAATGGCAGTGAATACTAATGAGAGAAGGGATGGAGGACACCTTTGAGGTAATTTTGCCAAAGCAAATTAATTCCTTTTCAGGCTTTGCCTAGCATTTTAAGCATAGCTTTTAACTGGTACCGCAAACATCTACTAAAATTATCATTAATAGATGCTGTAGATTAAAGTTTTTAAAAATTCTTCTACTGTTTAGCTCAGTATGAATGATGTTATTAAAAAGTTAAATAACTGATGTCACTAATTGATTAAAAACACTATTTCAATTAGAGAAATTTCAATTAGATCTGGTACAGACAGAATCTATACCTTTTTCCCTCTGAACAATGTTTCAAATAGAAATATTTGCATCTTCCTTTTGTTTAAATGCTCTTTAGGATTATGCACAGACCTCTCTGAATATTTAAACATTGCATTCCTCAACAGAAGTCTAATTCTGAACTTCAAGAGCATTTATAGTATAAACATGTTCATACATATGTGCAACTGTGTATGTACACAACCATAATGCCATTAATGACAAGAAGAGATTCATAATAATTACGCATTTAAAAGCAATCTCTTCTATCCCACTAATTTTATTATTTCAGAACTTAGTGCTTTGAGATGATGATGATTTATAGCTTTGCACAATGATGAACAAAATGGTGTAAGTATGCTCCACACTGTGCTGCCAACTAAGCAAGTAACACCTTCCCTCAAACCAAACAATCCCCTTCAACATTTACAGACAGCATCCCAAGATTGGCAGTCAGGAAAATCCCAAGTTTCAAAAGGCTGTAATCAGTAAATAAGAGTAACAGCTGAAGTACAGTTGAAGGTGATGCCACAGAGGATGAGGAGCTAGAGATGAATACCCCCCAGAGCTTCCCCTCTCCCTACAGCATGTGAAGTTTTGCATTGCTGTTGGCATGAGCATACGCTGTCTTCCAACTTCAAAAGCTTGTGTACACTGTCAGTGTGAAATTGAGCTTTGAGTAATAAATCTTAAAGATTATTACTGTGTCTTCACAGGAAAAGACAAAAATGCTTAGGTAGCAATGACTATAAATAGAACGTGAAGGTTGGATTTGCAGTTTCAGCAGACAGTGTTTGGCTTCACAGAAATTATACACGGATTTGACAAGTATTATGATTTAAAGATGTTACGTAAGTTCTCAAAATTGTTCCAAAAATTACTGTTATGAAATATCTTTGGGGAATTCTTATTTTACTTATTTTATTTTCTAACCCAAATCACAACCATTCCAGCACAGAAAAGAGTATTTCTTCTTGAACTAACTTTCCTTAGTATATTTCCCCATGACAAAGGTAACAGATGACATGGGAATTACATAGTTCTAAATTTCTCAGTTTTAGCTGCATACAAAAGAGGATTTCAATCACAGAAAATAATTTTTAAGCTTATGTACTTAAATATTTGCTTTTATTCTCAGCTCTTCAAAGATTTAAGAGCAAAACCCAACAGGTTTCATAATACTGTAATTCTAGCTTCTGGGTTCTCAGTAATAACCAAAAATGGTGTGGCCTCACCTAGTAAAGAAAGGAAAGTGAAATATATGGAAACTTATTCAGACTTTTCATTTCACCGAATTTAATTTTGCATAAATTACATATTTATGGTTCCAGGCTTTTGCAAGTCTGTACAAAGTTAATATTTCAATAAACCACTAATACTTTAAACAGTGGAAATACACAAATATATTTAGTTTGGGTCCCTCAGTTAGCTCTACTGCTATTTTAACCATACACCAGGACTACTACAAAGGATCATTGTTTTTCACAAACTAACAGATTTTATAGATGCTGTAAAAATTTCAAAGAAATTGAGACAGGAAGAAATATTTCCTAAATATTATTTCCATTAAAAAGAAAGCAGAATAGAATACATCATTCATTTAGGATAAAAGTGAGTTGTCCCAAAACAGTATAACATTCTGTATCAGTTTTTCATTCTTGTCTTTCAAAAATCTCTGTAAGACTTTTTAAGAAATACTACTATATAAACCATAGTAACTGTCAATTTGTCAAAGTAACTCAAAATTCAATCATAATATCCCATCTTCCCAAGCATATTACTATTGCAATCAGCTTCATGAAATGCCCACGTTAGAACAACAAATACATTCCGAGACCAGAATTCATGTCAAACAGCCAACAACTGTACTGTGTAGAACTTATTTACACACAAGCACACCGACATGAACAGCTGCCTCTTTTGATAAAGTCTTTAATTAAACAGTGCTTCTCCCAGTCAACTACTTGATTTCCCATAATTTCATGTGCCCATAAGAAAATGGGGCACACATGCTAAACATGACAACTGAAACTCTTCAAAATATCACCTCATCATTAACAGTGTAAAACTAAGGAGAACACAAGCAAAGTCTTACAGGTTCCAAAAGCTGACCTTTACAGGTTTTAAACACCTTGCAACTTGTCTATTAAAAATTTTCAGTTCTTCACATTTATAAATTATTCTTTGCTTGGTACTAAAAAAAAAAAAGGCAGCTCTCAACTATACACAGTCTAACTTAAACTGACAGTGCAAGGGCAAAACATTTTAAGAGAAGTTTGTACGTTAATCCTAACACGTCTAATACAACACTGTAAGCAAAAATGGACATTTCCAAATAGCATTTCATAGGATTAGACAGACAAATACTATGCTTAGATTTGCATTGTTCAGTTCTACGTTATGCTGGTGGTGCTGAACACCCCATCCCCCAAAACCCCCACACATGAGCTATCTTCCAGATCCATTCTGGCAGGTTTTTTGAATGCATATGTTCATGACTGGACTTTTAATTTTGCTTTTATTTCCTGACACAAACAAAAGCAATAATCTCTCAGTGAAGTGCAGTTTTTCCTCATTATTTAGACGTGTAAACATTCTCTCCATTCCTGTCTACATAATGGAAACCAACTGAGCAAACTCCATCAGTCAATGTAATTGTATGCAAAACTTGTAACAGCTCATCCCAACAGGAAGAAATATGTCTGGAGAGATATCAGAAAATAAAGTTACAGATTTAACACACACACCCACAAAAGAGGAAACAAGAGAGACTGTTTGTAATATTATCTATAGCAGGCATTATCAAGCTTCCAGTGAAACACGATGTCATTATAAAGCTAATATAAAGAACCCCCAATTCTACTAATAAAATCAGAGGTGACTGATTTTCAGAACATTTTCAGAATATGCACAAACTTCTATGCAAATATTACCACATATATTTGTCTGGCTGTGCAGCTATGTACACAATAAATGTAAAAAATAATATTCAACATGACAATATAAATCACTAGACGTTAACTACTTACTATTAAGAGCCATAATATTGTCTGTTCCTGGATGATGGAAATTTATTCCCATACGCCCTGCAATGTAAGCAAAAGCTATTTTCAATGTTTTTATTTAAAAACTGAACTAAATTAATTAACATGAAAAATTTCTAAAGGTTGGGGTAGGTGAATCTTCCATCTGTTGAAGACAACTTCTCAAGAATAGACATTTACAATATTTAACACCACAGTACCTTTAGTGTTATGTACTTAAAATATTGAAAATCACAAAATAAACAGTGAAATAATTCTTTTTAATAAATTCCTTTGCTTTGCACTAAGAAAGTATTATGCTTACCCTTCAAAATAAGGCCTCTAGTTCAAGCTTGCTGCAGTTATGACATTTACAGCTGGCTTCCAATAACAAATACAGCATTACAATACTCCACTTAATGGGTAAAAATAAATCACTATTTTTCATACTACCTGTAGCACCAGAAGCTCTCAAGTTAACAGATAGTTGGAAGGAAAATTCTTACTCTGGTTTTGTATTCTTCCCTAAGAATCTTCTATCTACTATTTGAGATAAGACACTGGGTTGGAGGGAATGTTGTTCTCATGCAGTACCTTCATATGTACTTTGAGAAATATATATCTCGTCCCAAAGGAGACTTAGCCCAGAGAAATCTACTTTTACTGTCAAAGCAAGAAATGAGCCAACAGAAGCAATGCTGTTCAGATTAGTTTCAGATACCACTTAACTGACCTGAAGTATTAAAAACGTATCCTGAAGAAAATTTGTAACAGGACTTTCTTAATTAAATACCTGAAACAGTTTGAAAGCTGTAACTGGTATTAGTTGTCACTTGGAAAAAGATACAAAAGGATAATTATAGCCATAAAAAAGTTATTTCAATTAAGGTAAATAACTTCATGTATATAATGTCAATCCATTGCATATGCTTTTCACTCAGGACCCACTAACTATACTGAAGAACCAATATAATGGTTATGTTCCTGTACTTCTGCAAACCAAAGTTTTAACACATAAACTCTGGCAAAGCAGAACTAAAGCCAATCCTCTCCAGCATTTTTAGTTCCTATTGATAGTTAAAGCCTCCTTATTTGCAGTCACAGAGACTGCTGTGCTATAATGAATGTTCTTGCTGAACAGACGTGGCATGAAGTTTCAGTACATTTCTGAAACTAAGTCATAAGCAGTTTAAGAAAAGCAAATAAATCTTTTCTTCACATTATAGTTTTTCCTTTTTTTAGAAAAAAGTGTTGCCACAATAAGGCTATGAAGCCAACAGCACCTCGAGAAAGAAGTGGGGGCAGAAGGTAAATAGAATTTCCATTTCTATTTTCCAACTCCTTGAGCAAAGCTTCTTAAAGAGATGATCTTCATTAACTACTTCACATTTCCTAATTACAGACATAATTCTCCTATACATATTTTCACATTAATCTGGCATTGCAGAAATACTAAAGCTGCTACTATTTCAGTTAGTATAACCTTTGCTAAAATATTTCAGAAATCTTGCCAGATGGACATTAATTCCCTTTCCTCAACAGTGTATTAATGACTGTGAGGTTACAAGTATTACTTGCAAAGAGAAAAGGTGTATATACTAATCTGTACTTTCAAATTAATACTTCGAATAGAAAAAAAAAGAAACTGATATGAAAAAGTATTCAAATTTGAATGCATGATAGTTGGATGGGCCCTTCTATCTTCCTTTGCTGAAGCTGAAATTCTGCTGTTTGACCAGCTTCAGAAATAGAATCCTATCTGTGACATCTGGGTCTGTTTTTTTCCTCCCTCCAGGCTGTCACTGGACCAGGTGCTGCTTGTGTGACATTTTGTCACCTGCCCTTGGCCTGCTATTTTTAAACAGTTCTTGTCAGCTATCTTTTAAGAGGAGCAGAAAATACAGAGCAGCACAAGCAGAAGGACATGTTCTCACACTGAGCTAAGCCACTGTGCGGGATAATTCTGTACATCTTCAGAGGTCCCTCGTACTACTCTACAGAAACAGATCAATGGAATCCTTTCCAAACACACCTGTATTAAAAGCATTCAAAAGAGACTAGTAATGCAATAATCATAAGACAATTAATTACCAATAATTATACAGCCTTTCATATTAGCTATAACATTTGAAAATCTTGTTGCTTGAAGCAAATTATTCAATTGAAAAAGAGGCCATATGCAGATTACAAAACTGCATCATTATCTCAGAAAATTGTATTTTTTTTTATTTAAAGGTGCAATATAGAACTGTGAAATGTAATTAAGAATATGTACTTTCAAAGACATATTTAGGTTAAACAGATAAATGAGTATTGGAAAACAAACAATTTTAAGAAAAACACATGTATGTTACCTGTGTGAAGACTCTACAAGCACATATTTCTAATTATAGTTTTAAAACAAAATCTCTAGATAAAAGTTTTACTTTTCAAGATTATTAAGCACATTAAGCAGAAACGCAGAGAAGACAGAGCACAGAAGTTATGGATTCCAGCAGTTCACTGAAATCATAAATAGAAACCCTTCCAGTAACAACATCCCCAGTACTTGTATTCAGTGTCCATCTGCCATTTTCAGTTTGCCTGTCTTGGTTTCATAACTATTTACTGAGTATATTTTCAATTACGTGCTTTTATAACATACACTTACAGTGCTGCAGTTAGGGTGCAAATTTAACCACTCTTTTACATCTTTTCAATTCCTAATTTAAAAAGAAAACAAATCCAGTTGTATACTGCTTGCTCTTTAAACATTTCAGAGAAAAAAATGAAGGTTTAATGATACACGTATAGCCCAGGCTGCACTTTTGCTTATTTTATGTCATTAAATTTCCTAAATTATCTCTCCTAATGACATTTGGAGAGACTTTCTGGCTGGACAGCCTGAGTGCTCTGCTGCATGTGCCATATCATGCTTGTCATGGCAGAGAGCCCAATTCCTTTTCAGAGCACATCAAATCTGTGCATCTTCTCTTCTGTATTTTATTAGAAATGAGATGTTAAATGGAACTTGCTTTGTTCTCTGTAGAAGAGTATAATGATCTTGGATCAATTCTGACATCTTTCCAACAACTAAAGGAAGTATACCCTTTCCACATATGAATCTCTTTATTAAATCTTTCACAAATAAACAATGTTTTTAATTGTCTACATAATTTCAAGTTACATGATCAGTTTTGAGACATAATGTTGCTCCAGAAATAACAAATCTAGGTATCAGACACAGTTTTACCACTATTTCATTTTCTTTTTTATTCATTCTCTCTTCCTAAGTCCTTTGTGGCTTTTTGAACTTGTGAAACCCTAATCAGCTCCTGGATGTGCACTTCACTTACTCGGTGAAGGATTTTTAAGATTACAGTTACTTTTCTCATAATTTTCATATTACAATCAACATTCCAAGAAACCATGTTCATTGGTTATATATTGACTAAAACTTCTTGCACTATTATACCTCATGACTTTCACCAAGACTGACCACTCCCACCAATTCAGCAATTGGTATTCGGCATAAGATTTGCGAGAAAATAGGAAAACTGGCCTGCTTTTGACCTGTCCTGAACTTTCGGGGAATGAGAACTTCCTCTCACGTAGCTCTTAAGACCACTGTTGATATCAATTACAAGTTAGGATTACATAATTCAGTGGCAAGGTCAAATGAAACTGGTAACAGGACTAGTTCTGCTATATTTCCTTAGTAATAATCCCTCCTTTATCATTCTTATATTCTCTAGCAAATTATTTCCAACAAAAGGCACTAAAAAGTAGCTATAATTGCTTGGATGGATAGGTAGCAGGTGGGTAGAGCAAAGTTTAGACACAGAAGAGTTGAAAAATCAAACCAAGACCAGTGCATTATCTCAAACATCTGAAAGAAGATTATCCTTTTGACTCACATGTATTCAGTCAGGAGTCCAGTTTATGGCACAACCTACGGCTCCACACACACTCACACACAGCCCCACCAGCTCAACCATGAGTCTCTACTCCATGACTCACAAATGGCCACAAAGCAAGAGGCATGTGTGTGAACATAAAAGAATCGTCATTATTTCTACCTGAGTAGACCTCAGAACATTCTCTCACCTTTTCCCCCAAAATTACAGACACTTGAAACCGATGCTCAACATACTGACTAACTCAACATACATGCCCAAGACAATTTCAAAACTAAGAATGCTGTGAGCAAGGGTCTCCATAAAGAATTATAAAAAATACAGGAAGTTTGTTGGGATTATTTCCCTCACCCTTTTTTATCTGCCATTTGTTCACACCCATAATTTAAACACCTACACTTACAGATCTTTTAAAAAAATTAAAATACCGAGCAGAACAGAAGTAGTATTGTTTGCCAGAAGGGGAAGATGAAGAACTATTACTGTATTCACATGTATATATTTTTACTGTGCAAAAACATATTGTGGCAATGTGAAGAGAAGTGTATAATTATCAGTAATAAAGCTTGCTGATACTAACTTCTTCCTATCACTGACTAAGTATATATATGCCATCAGTAGGGAAAGCAACCTATAAAATAAAACAACATATACATTACAATGAAATGCAGTCTTTATAAGTTAATTACACTGCTCCACTAAAACACAAGGGGGTCTTGCATATATCTAAGTAGTATAAACATTTTCAGCTTAAAAAAAGCTATATTTTCAAAATATTATTACTTTAAAAGCAAGACTAGATGAACATAAAGATATATTTGGCTTAACTTGTAAGCAGTAGATAAGAATATGTACACATATACCCATTCTACATGAAGTTCTAGAACTGTATTCAAAAGAGCAATACTGGTATTTTTATTGGTGAGTTTGGGGGGAATAAAGTAAAACAATACGAAAGCAGACTCTTCCACTAGCAACCTATGCTAAAACACACAAAACCCTCAGAATAGCAGAGAAGTGGGAAAGAAAAAAAAAAAGTTGCTTTAGGTCTTTGTGAGGCCAGTCTTCAACAGCACAGTGAAAAAACAGAAATAAACAGAAGGAAAATTTGATATCCATATCATCACTTCTTAATCTAAACAAAGTAACAAAAAACCCCACCACTCC